TGTGAGAGGCAGTAAGGCATAAGAGGTTGATATCTTTTTAGAACATGGGAAAAGATGGTTCATCGTTCAAAGTGTAAAGTTGGCGGCCTACTACTTTTACTTGTGCACGATCCAACTCTTTAATTGCGCATCAACATCGTGTCTAATCGCGGGGCCAATCCCTCTAGTTTTGCCTCTTACTAATTTTGTTTTGATTCGAGTGCCCCTCTATAACTTAGCTACCCCTTGAAAATTGCCAAGGAATTTTTTTCCCTCCTGAACGACGGATTCAGTTTCAATATTTAATTGTCCAATTTTAAATTACATTTGTTTGTTTCATGCAGAGTTTACAAATATAGATTTCAGGTGCGTATCAAACATGTAAATGGTGGTATAATTAAGTAGCCATAACATCAGCAGTTGATCACAAAACAGGAACTCGAAGCAAAGTATTCAACCAAAGGCCACTCGTGAGATGATGGCGACAGCCGGATGAACCATTTTCCCAGTGTCGGCATTGCAAACACAACATTTCAACAAAGGTAATCGAAGATCATTCAGACAAAAGATCCCAAAATGGACCCCATTTTTCCCCCCTGTGAGAGGAAAAAGCAGTAGTTATTAGTGACGAAAAATGTATTAAACTGTTAAAACGATGTGTTTGTGTGGGCTATTAATTAGGGTTTTACGAGAATCCAAAGTAAGGGAATAGTTGTATAACATTTGTCCTAGTTATTTTTATTGGGTCAAGAATCCCTTACATGAGGCAAATCCGGAGGACAGTTTTGGCTTATTGCAAGTTTGATGTGAGTGACATGATCAAACTGGTTCAGTCAACCACCGTCTGCCTCCCTCCCCGAGAAGGGTAGAAAAAAAAGTCCCACCAAAAGGAGTAGGAAAATAAATGAGGCAGTGATCTCCAGTTCATCCACTTTCTAGGCTGGTTTTCTAGCCTTATTTATTTTTATTTTCTTTGGGGTAGTTTGCTATTTCTTGTATGATTTCTACAATAGGGCATGAGCGTATTGTCAACCCCATGTGGGAGGCCATTTTTTGTTAGGTTCCCTACCCAATTCCCATTGACTTCAACACTTTCCAAATTAACAAGGAGAGGAATGCAACCCTGATGGGCTGATGGCCTAGACTTTTTTTAAAAAAAAATTTATGGTGAACAACTGCAAATAAAATAATAAAAGTATGGCACATTGTTTAAATTTGGGCAATCCAAAGGAATAACTGTCCCATAAAGAAATCTCTAACTTTTGAAATTCAGAATTGGCACCTTTTTTTAATTGCTACTAATTGTTCTTAATCAGCTTAGCATATGCATTGGATTCCTTATAAATCACTAGTAATTTCTAGGTTGAAAGAAAATGGACTTTTTAATCTGTTTACAAAGTTTTGAAGAGAATTTGAAATCGAGATCCATTTTAAGTAAAGTTAAATGCATTTTCCTTCTAATAAGTAATCCTTTTACTTACATATTGAGATCCCAATTGGGAAATTTAATTCTCCAATCATCCTAGCTCACATGTAAGTTAAATCTCCGTATGCTCAATTGATCCAATATTGCCCATCTGCTTGGCTTATCCATTTCTGTACAAAAAGTGATCACGCACTTGCACCAAATTTATTAGTATTACCTACTTGTCACAGACAAGAAACTCAATCACACTCACACAGCTCATTTCCTGATAATCAGACCTATATCAAACTAAACTACAAAATCAAACGAAGGAAAAAGGCTTACTATGGTCGCAGTGATGATGCGAAGCTGTCATCATATCTTCCCCCATATTTCTTTATCGCTGGTATTAAATTTCGAATGGGAACATGTCGAGTTGCCCCAAAAGTCGCTGTCAATGGTGCATTCTCTGTTTCAAACTTTGACATGCACTTAAGCTCTACACTTCTCCACTTCTCTTTCCTTCTGTCTCTTTCGTGCTGCTCTGTTCTCACTATCTTCTTCTTCATTCCATTAACTATTGAATTTACTGCAAATATTCTACAGAAAGAGAGACTTAATTAATCTTAAAGGAAGAAACAGATATGGCTTGTTGCCTTTGAGCTTTTTTTATTATAAACTAATTAGAAGAAGAAGGATACGCTGGCAGGTTTGAGCCAAAGGAAAAAGATGGGTATCTCTCAGTTTCTGTTCTTTCTCATTCTTCTGTTGTTCACATTCTACCTTCC